AGAAACGTCAGCTCAACTCACATCATTGTAGGAAAATTATACTACCAGTCCTTCATCACCTTACACGAAATAGGGTGAATTGATCTCATTTAACAATTCTTAATCAAGAGGTTCCTGCAAACCCAAATTTTCTTTGCAGAATTTTATTTTGGGTGGGATTAGTTTATTCTGCAAAATTCTGAAAAATGACCTTCATTAATTTTTGATGAACTTTTTCTTGTTTGTATCTGCATCAGACACAAGTACTTTTTATACTTTCAATTACTATCTGGCATTAATTTTATTTCTGGCTATAGCTGCACTTAATAGGAGGCCTAACTTGGGAACTCCTTTGGTCACACTTAGCTCATTTATTCACTACCATTGGAGCTCTTTGGATTCAAGGGAACTTCCCGAATTTTCACATCATTTAATTTTACACGAATAAATGCCCATTGTAGACTTAATGGGAAGCCTTATTTAAAATAATTTATATTGTCTGATTTAGATTTCACGATATATATCTGCATGTATCACTTTTCTTGCATTTAGGTATAATTATTTTTATTACACGTCTATCTGTGGCAGTTGACGGTCGAAATTGCTTACGAAGACTTTTTTAGATTAGCATCACGACTAGTATTAAAGTATATTGAGGTGTAGCTATAGCTGTTTTAGGGTTCTGTAGTTTATGTAAGGCTAGAAAATCCTGCTTATATAGTATGAGCATGTGTTGAATTATAAAGTTATCTGGGAATCTCCTTAATAATTCCTCTTGCTTTATCTCAGCTAAATTGTTTTCACTGAAAATTACAAGATAGTAACTTGTCGGAGATTTATTGTAGAGGCAAAAAATTAACACACCATAATCACTCTTAGATAAAGACTGCCAAGAATGCTTATTTTAAAACCAAGTAGTCAGAATGAGCAGCATCGTTTTTTGTCATCGTTCTCCGATTTAGTTATATTACAGAACTATAATTTATAAAGCCATTTTCTCTTTTCTAAATGTTTTTTCTTAACTGCTTATTTAAGCTATTGAAACGGCGCTATTTGGCCTTCTGGTATCCCCCACCGATAGATCAGGCCTCTGGTCAGCGGTCTGCCGTTGCTCCCAACGCTCCTGTGCGTCTTCCTCCGTTAGTAGCCATCTCACTTTGCGTGGTCTCTGTCCTCACTCCAATGCTCTTCGTTTACCCTGCTAATCTTCTACGCACGCGCTTCCAGGTTTGCTTTACCCTTACAAAATGTATTCATTGGGTTCAATACTCCATCATAGATATTATCTTGAATGCCTTTTGAAAATTTCACTTTATTTTTTTGACATGTAGATTATAATTCATGTGTACCTCAAGGATGTCACCGAGAAACCTGTGCCTTATCTATCATTCGAGCCCGCAAGACTTTCTGGTATTTCGATGGCACATGCGAAATTATAACTGACAAATATGACTGATTTTCATGAACCAACTTTTGAGGAACAAATAGCGAGACCTACATAAAACATATAATAGCACTTTTTATTGAAGGTATGGAGACCAAGATAATGTGGCCTGGTCGTTGTCTCTTTTCTTCGTATAGAAATTGTTTGACCTTGTTTTCGCAACTTGGTCTTATTCTCATGGCGAACTAGAAGAAAGCAACTTGTCCGAAGTCCATAATATCCATAATTATTTCCAGAGTAGGACTGTGGACTTAGTACAATTCCAGACGTTTCACCAGCATCATCAGTGAGCCTTTCCACTCTTAGCATCATACCACAACTTGTCAAAGAGAGCTGTGAAGCCGACCATTTGACCAATTATCTGCTGAACAGCTTTGGCATTTCTCTTGTCCTAGTGCATTCACCGATCCCTTTTATCCTTACCTTTTATCACCCCTTCATCATTACTATTTCTTACTTGCCTATTTAAGCC